ATGTTTGTTTTAAAGATAAAAGCCCCCTCAAAAAGAGAGTGATGCATGTGTTTTCCTCCTGCACTCCTATGTAACTGCCACGCAAACACACAAGGGTCTAACTCTGTATTCACTGCCCCTGCTGGGAGGGTGCAAAGTTTTGGGATTCGGAGCAGGGCTGCAGGATTGGGGGAACAGTTTCCAAGAAAGAACCTCTGGCAAGACAATCTCCTCCCAGTTGCAAAGCTTCAGCAACGTTTGGAAAGAATGCTGGTTGCTACTGCTGCATATTTTCCCCTGGGGGCAACTCAATCAAGCCCATTCATTAAGCGAAAGATAAACAACCAAAGATGGAGGGTGGTGATGGGGGGGGGTGGAGGACAGATATTAATAGGGAAGCAGCCAGGATTAATGGAATCGGGAGTGGGGAGATGTTCCTGGCTCGTGGACTCCAGAGGACATCTGGAACAGCTCTGCAAAGACGTGAACCAGAGTCGAGGAGCTAAGAGGGAATGCAGAAACAGCCCAGATGGATCTGAACCAAAGATCCATCCGGCATCCTGTTTCCCACACAGCCCTGCCAGGCGCAGCTGCCGCAAAGGGTGTGAGGACAACAGCCCCTGCCCACAGCAGGCCATCTGCCTCCATAGCTGAGATTTAGGGGTAGACTGCCTCTGACCATTGAGGTTCCATTGACGTTTTAGCCTCAGATATCAAGGCCAAAAGCTAGGGCTGACTCTGGATTTGGGGGGACAGGCAAGATGCCCTCCAGGGCCCCTCCCTCAACAGATCGGCCTTCCAGCTCCCTTTGCCCCCAGCTGCGATGGCGCCTTGGCCTTGCTACCCCTTCTTGTGGGGGACGGGAGGGCGATTAACGGAGGGCATGGCATCTACTGCTCTTCCTTCTTGCCTCCTCCACTGTCTGGGTCAGAGTGAGAAGCAGGCACACAAGCAGGCTGCAATGAGGAAGCAGAGGAGGAAGTCCGGGGGTGTCTCATCAGTGGGCCCCTGTTGGCGTGTGGCCCTTGCCAGGACCCCCACAGACTTAGCCTCGGCTAGCAGCCGCTGACAGATCTCTTCTCCTTCACGTCTTCCTCCATTAGACCCATTTAGAGCCATCTGCCCAAGGGCAACCGCTGTATCTTGTGGCAATGAGTCCCACCCACTACTCAGCCTCCCTTGCCCCCCCCGTCCCCTCCCAACTTGGTACCTTCCCAATGTCTGGCACAACAACTTCACCACCCCTGTTCCCTGGCTGTGCTGGATAGGAATGAGGGGAGTTGTAATCCAACACACCTGGAATGCATGAGAGTGGAGAAGGGGCCCCAAGCCAGGTTTTAAGTTTATCGGGGAGTAAAGGTGCTTGAAAACTTTGGCTACATTCAGTTGCCTTTTTCCTTCACCTTTTCCGAGCTGACCATTTCCTTTCTTAAGATGGAGGAAGCAGAGCTGTGTATGATAAATCAAATGTGGTTGCATCATAGATTTATCCGTTAAAAAGAAGATGGTGGAAAAAAGAAAGTTTCTCTCTCTCTCTCCCTGACAGGTAAAAGTGAGCAAATCTACCCCTGAAGGCCGCTTACATAAAAAGCAATTTAAAGCAAGCAAACCAACAAAAAGACAATATCCTACTCCAGTAAAATACAGCCACTTATTCAAACAGCAGTTAAAAAATATCTCACAATCTGGCCCAACATTTATATGAAAATAATTAAACCACTGGGAAAAAAACAACAACTTCAGAGCTGGGAATAACAGGATACTTATGAAATCGGAAACGTTGCTGTTTCCGCTAAAAGCAACAAGTGTTTTTTCCAAGGCCTGTTTTAAAGGCCAGGAGGGATGGAGCCAACCACATGATCCTTGGGAGAATTCCCATAACCTGGGCCACCACCGAGAAGGCCCTGCCCTCTGCTTGTGGGGAGTTCGCACAGGCGTCTGGTTGCCTTCTGTGGAAAGCAAAATGCTGGATGGATGGATCTAAAACACAGGGCTTCGTGCAAACTTCAGATATGTAGCTGCACAGATGTGCCCACACGATCACTCATACGCAGAGCCAACTCAAATATTTCTCTCTGAACATGGAACAGTGCCTCGCATACGTTATTTCAAAAAACTCAATGCACTTGCAGCGCTGGCGGTCAAATACAGAGCAACCACTTTTCCGGTATGGAGCTGCACAGCTTGTCTGACCTTCCGAGCAGGTTCACTTAGTACAATTGGCAGTTGCTGAACCCTCTCACGGGATTTCCAGCATCACCCATTCGGTTTTTAGAAGCCACAAGAAACAATGGTCTGTTCCATGGTCTCCACACTTCACCACGGATCCCCTAATTTATTCATTTATTTAAAGTTTTTATATGTCATCCAAAACCTGAAGTTCTGGATGGCTTGCCAAAAAAACAAACGAAAACAAAACCCATACCAACAAACAACACACTGCATCCAACCATCAATGATAAAATCAAAGATAAAACCAATTAAATGTTAAAATGTTGGGGAAACAAAAGGGGTTTTGCCTGATGCTGAAAAGAATAAAGTGACGGTGCCTGGTGGACCTCCCTGGGGAGCATGTTCCAAAGTCGGGGTGCCAGCACCGAAAAGGCCCTTCTCCAGGTACCACCCTCCTAATTTCCTTCAAAGAGGGCTCACGGAGAAGGACCTCTGCCTCAGATTTCAAGGGGCGGGCAGGCACCTGGGGAAGAAGGTGGTCCTTCAGGTATCCAAGACCCAAGCCACCTAGGGCATTATAGGTCATTACCTGCACCTTAAATTGGGCCCGGACTCAATTGGCAGCCAGTGCAGACGATATAGGACCGGCGCGATATGGGAGTATCTGCCGGTCCCCGTTAACAACCTGGCAGCTCTCATCGTCTGAACTCAGCATCTTGGTTTCCACGGTCCTGGTGTGTAGCTACCGCGGAGTTCCTTGGGAACAGCACACACCGTTCCAACGTGGGACCACTGTTTGTTGTGACAGGTGAACCCAGGCAGTGGTTCAGGGAACAATTGAGCGCTTTTCCATGGAAGCCCTGGATTGACATCACGCACAAGCAAAGCCAGTGTGGAGGCATGTTATTCCTCGAGAATGGAATATGTAAACATGGGAAGCTGCCCGGCCTGGTTCAGTGCTCAACCATCACTCCTGTGCAGAGGTGCGGAACTTGGGGCCTTCTTCATGCCCAGTCGGGACTCTGTCCCCCAAGTCTGTGCCAACTCTCTCCGCCATGGACTCCCACAGGGGCATCGCACCATATGCCTGACTCTCCGTGCATATGTTTATACCCTGGCGCCTCAGAAAGGGAAACGCACAATTTGCATGAGTCACTTCTGCCTTATCCCATGCGCAAGAGGCAGCACATGTGCAAGTATGCACAGTCTCACATACCTCCGCATGTGAAAGGCATCACTGTATGTTAGCCCACAAGTGGCCTAAGCGTGGCGCTTTCCTGAAAAAGCTCGCGCTAAAGCGATGGCCCTTGCGTGTCGCACCATGATCCGAAAGAAATCTCATTTCGCTCGTCGGCTTATGCCCACACGCCTATCCATGAAGGCAATTGCTGGGGGTTGGTCTATAAATAGTGTTGATTTGGGGCTGCAAATCCTATAAAATCGAGTGCCAGTGGGACTCGTTCCCAGGTTCACGCGAATAGGTTGAATACACTTTGGCATCATGGCGAGTCGAGGGATGTGAGGGCATGGGAAAGGAGGGGATGCCACGAACAGCCACTTCGGGTATCCAAGGGCAGACCTGATGGCGCCTTATTTTAAAATTATTTTCAAAAAACGCCAACAGGCTCCCCTTCCTGACTTGCACGTTTGTGCGCACACACACAAACACACACACACCTGCCGCCTCATAGCCACCCTTAGCCATTTCGTTGGAAGTGCAGGCCTGTGACCTTCGTGGTCACCATAGCAACTGAACGGGCGAGGCCTGCCATTCTCAGATGTAATTACTGCCTTTGCTATAATTACTAGGAAAACGAGGAAGGGCACAGGTGTGGGGTGACTGGGAGAGGAGCACGGAAAGCATTTTTAGGAAGGAAGGAAGGATTATTGCCTAGATCAAGCCTTTAGTCTGTAACAGCACAGGGCAAAGTATTTGTAAGGATGCTTAGATAAAAAGATGGAAGGCACAATCCCATGGTGGTTTGGAATGGAAACAAAATCCGACAACTCCCAGCATTCCCCAGCCAACTGGCTGGGGAATGCTGGGAGTTGTCAGATTTTTTTTCAAAACTAGCATAGGATTTTGCCCTAAAACAACCCGATGGAGAGAGTCAAGACTACTGATACATGTGAACTACACTAAGTAAACGGAGGCTTTGTCTAGGCTTGCGGGGACAGAAAGATGGAAGCAAAGCGGAGGCATTTCTTCCGTGCTTGCTGGAGGTATCTGGCCAGCCACAGCAGGAATCCAGTTACCAAGTGGGATGGACTAGTGGCCAGATCCAGCAGGCTGTGGACTAGCGACAGCCTTTAGGAAGCAATGGAGCCTCCATGGGAAGAAGCAGTCTACCTCAGAATACTAGATGCTGGAAATGACCTTCCTGGGAGGGCCATGGGCATTATGCCGGAGCGGCGTGGTGGCGAGAGGGCTGGAGGAAAGACCTGCATGACTAAAGACCGGGTTCGAGTCTCCACTCAGCCATAAACCTCACCAGGTGACTTTGGACCAGTCTGCCCAACTTCCCCTACAGAGTTGTTGCCATGAGGATAAAATGGCGCTACGCGAGCTGCCTTGCATCCGTCACAAAAACAGAGGCTGGGCATAAATGCTTTGTAATCACAATCCACACAATCGAGACCGCCTGAAGCAGAGCCTTCCCCAGCCCAGTGCTTTCCCATTGGACCAGGCCACATGTCCCATCTTCCCCAACCAGCAGGTAGAATGAATGACCCTTTCTCCAACAGGCCTCCTTCGTATCCGCCCCAGAATTTGGGGGTATATGATGGGGGCCGGGATCCCCCAGAAGAGGAGGAGCTCAGGGCCACCCCTCCCAGGGGTCGCCTCTTACCATAATGCCCGTGAGCAGACAAACGCCCTTGCCACAGTACGTGTGGGGGACCATGTCGCCGTAGCCGATCGACAGGAAGGTGATGGAAATCAGCCACATGGCACCCAGGAAGTTGCTCGTAACATCTTGCTGGTCGTGGTACCTAAAGAGGGAGGAGAGACACCCGTCAGGCGCGGCCCCAGAGGCGTAGAAACAGCCCCACAGGGCTCCCCAACAAAACCCAGCTTGTTCGGTCTAGGTCGGGGGCGGGCAGACGACAGAAAGAATATAAAGAGCCGAAGCCAGTGTTGCCTAGTGGTTAGAGCACTGGTCTGGGACTAGGGAGAGTGGGGTTCTTGCCTCTGCACAGCCACGAAGCTCACTGGGTGACTTGGGCCCGTCACTGACTCTAAGCCTAGCCTACCTCACAGGGTTGTTGAGAGCATGCCATTTAGAGGAGGAGGGCTATACAAGCCAACGTGGCCTCTTTGCAAGGGGGATATAAAAATGATGAATAAAAAATGATGATAAAAAAAGGATATAAAAATGATGAATCAATAGTTTTCCTTGTAGGACATCGGGGGCTTCTGAATCCCAGCTGTGTAACAATCATACATGAAATCACCATTTCAACAAAGAAAAGCATTCTTTGCTGGGGCTGGTGTTGTGCTATTCACATACCTGGCTGCTCCAGTGATCCCCACCTGCAAAATGCGAGCAACAGTTGTTCCGTTGTGACTCAGACACAAACTTGCACTCACGTGTGCAAGCTGATCCCAGCATACAGCTCACGGGATACAGCGGGTGGCTGGGTTCAACCCCCAAGGCACCCTTCCACACCCAGATCTGACCTTGAGATTTCAGTCGAGAAAATACGTAGACCTCGCTTGTGTGAGGTCTGTCCACCCCTGGGCTAAGGGTGTGTGGAATAATTAGATGGCAATCGTGAGTCCATGCCTCTTTAAGGGAGCAGCATGTACCTCTGAGCATGTATAGAGTTATTTTCATTGCCACCCTCATTTCCCTTGCCTCAAGGGACTTTCTCTTTGTTGGCTACCTAAGATCCTTCCAGCTAGAGATGTGGTGGACTAAACCTAGAGCGTCCTGGGAAACAGCCCTCTGTGCTATCTCAGAGCCGCCCGTCCTTTCTGAAATAGGAAAGGAATTAAACAGTCGGTTCTTCCAACACGGGGCTGGGCAGCCTGAGAACCTCGGCCTAACTTCGAAAGCTCTCCACCAGCAATCAGGCGAGGGTGCTGGAAACTGCATCATCTCTTTGTCCCAGCCTCCCACTGGGCCTAGGCAGGAGGGAAAGAACGCTCCACGGCAGCCAACAGATTTCTAGATTTATATTACACCAGCCTTGCAACTGTGTTTATTTTATGGGTTTCTAGTGAAGATATGGCAAATGTCGCTTTCTTTGCAAATGTAACTCGCAGGCTTCAGCCCAGAATTAAGCCCCCTCGGTTTCTGGCTGTGCCGGAAGCAAAATCCGGTTCCCGATTGTCCCAGGCACCAGTCGGGGTGAGCAACTTGCAGCTCCGGGTCCAAATTACATCCTCCTTCATTTGGCCCTTCAGCAGGTGGAGCAGAGGTGAGAGGGGCAGGTGCGTGGAAGGACTGGCCCTCGGGAGAGCCTCAGCCTAGCTGGCATTGCAGTGCAGGGCGGCGAGACTTGCAAAAGGCCTGGGAGGGGGTAGGTGAGGACCAGCACCCCCTCCAGCAGGGTCTGACAAGTGCTGAGGGGCTGCAAGGCAGGCAGAATTGCTGCCCTTGCTCCGAACACGCGTGTGAACGGCATGGATCAGGCAGCAGAGCAGGGCCAGGAACCGGAATGAATGGCTTCCGTCTGCTGGAACGGTCATTTTCTCCGGCATTATGTGGCGGTGCCCTTTTGGAGAAATGCATGCAGCAGGTTCAAATCCTCGCAAGCTGGGATTAGAATATAAAATGGCAGGAGAGGCCGTTTGGCCGATAAAGAAAAGGCTCTAAGCTCCTACAGCCTGGCATCCTCCACGTACAACTCCCATCATCCCTGGCTCAATGATGCGTCCTCTACTCCAGTACATTTGGAGGGCATCAGGTACAGGTTGGCTGGCTTGAACTCTGCTGCTTAATGCACAACCCGCAATTAGTTCTCCCAAGAGGTCCCTATAGCATCGCAGGAGGAGTAGAAGACCTTTGTTTTCATTGCAAACACACACTGTGCAAAGTTCCTAGTCCCTGTTACTACAGAGAGGGTTTGGAGAGGAACTTCCGGTGACCTGCATTCATGGAAATGACACGCAAAACCAGAATTGTGAGAAGTGGGGGAAGTAAAATATTTCAGAACAGACTCTGCAAAAGACAGACACAAATAGGCTTCATTTGCATGAAGGTTACATAATTAGTGGGTGGTTTCATTGCAGAATTTGGATGACCTGGATATTCTGTTTCTAAAAGTTTTATGATCGAGTCCACAGAGCCCAGGGGATAAATGACCCCACTCAGAGGGCCCCATGGAAAAAAAAAATACTTGTAACTTTAATTGCTGCTTCCCGTACCTGCTTCTTCCAGGCCTTTTGGGTGACAAATTCCCAGAATACCTGGCCACGCATGTTGGCTGGGGCTGATGGGAGCTGAAGGACAGAAACTCTGGAGGGTCCCAAGCTGGGTTCAGCTGCATTTGAACTAACAGGGACCAGGAAACCATGCCACACACGACAGATCGCCCAGCCCCAGTGGATCCCAGTCAAGCTGGTGTCCACTCAGAGGCTGGGTGGATCAATGGTCCAGCATCAAGTCTATAACTCCCACGGAAGCAAGGAAGACCAGGCCTCACGGCCAAATCCAGCCCACAAAAAACACTTCCCCTGGTCCCACCCCTCCTAAGCCTTTGTTACTGGGGGCAAAGGCTTTAAAGCCCCACCCCTCTCCCAGTCAGCCCCTCCACCCCACAACATGGCCCCCAGATGCATCTCCAAACTAAAATGTGGCCCTCGGGCCGAAAACATTCTGCATCCCTGCCCTACTGCAATTTGTTGGGGATGAGCACACACAGACAAAACTCTTTCTCTGGCTCACGCAAACATCTGGAGACCGATTACTTCCCCGCTGCAGGGGCAGAAATGTGCAGGTACACCTTATTCAGACTGGCCCAGGCTACCAGGAGCCAGAGGTGCGACACACTGCGCTAGCTGGTGCCTTATTAAAACAGGACCCACGGAGAGAAGGAAAGCACCGCCGTTAGTGGCTGGCTTCCACCACTGCACGTCCCAAGGAATATCTTCCTTCCAGCATCTCAAGGAGCCAAGGTTCAATCCGGATGCCAGGAAGGACTTCCTGACTATTAGGACCCCCAGGGTATGGAATGGGCTTCCTCAGGAGGTGGTTGAGGGCCTGTCGGTGAGGGTGTTTAAGGACAGGCAGGACATGCACATGGTGGGCATGTCGTGAGTGGAGCTGGCTGGAGCCAGGGGTCAGACTAGATGGCCCGGGAGACCCCTTCTGACTCACTCTGCTTCTCTGTTTCTGTCTCCACTGGATCTGTTAGAAAGGCAAAAGGCAGATGGTTTCCTTCAGCTGTTTCTTCCTGATCCATTCATCCAAGTTTCCTAACTCATGGCTTTCTGAGTTAGACGGGGACAAGGAAAGAGCAGTGGTGTTGCAACACGATCTTTTCATATTTCTTGGTTATGTCAAAAATTGAGAGTGGGAACCCCTCTGCGCATGCAATCTAATTCCTCATGTCTCCAGGATGTGGAGAAGTTAATGAAATACTGGAGCATAAAAGTGAAATGTGACTAGGGTACGTGCGCCTTAGAAGGCTCAGCTTGAAACATGGCCTTCCCAGAATTCTAAATCCCATCATTTGCAGGTAGCAGCAAAGCCATGGTCCTTTCACTCATCCTCCTTTACTGTGCCAAAGCCTGACCCCTGAATACAACATACTGAGCACCAGGATGGGAGTCCTTGCACAACAAAGATCTGGGCTTGGTCCTTGTTTTACATTTTTGATGTCAGTTTCTGGAGAATGCAGGGCTCTTCTTACAACAAGCAAGGTTTGGGGTGACACAGAACTCTGCAGCAGGACAAAGGAACTCAGAAGACCTCTTAGTAGCTTCTCTGGGGTGCCGGTCTTCAACTGGTGGACTGGGACCTCAGGACTGAGTCATGGCCCAGCACAAGGGAGGCTCCTCCACTTTCATGTTAGCAGCAGAAAAATAAGGAGCAGAAAAATTGCCCAGCCCTGGGCAAAGAGAGAGTGATCCTCTGGAGCTGGCAGGTGGGAACCTCACTGTGGAGAACTGAGGGCTCAGTAGGTGGCGCCCTTGAGTTGAGTCCCAAACAGAGCTCCGTTTAAGTAATTAATTAATTAAACAACACCCTCATCCCTTCAGCCAAGAGTATCTGAAAAACAGGAGGAAAGGGGGCTATGCCCTGAAAGCCAGGCAGGGCAGGGCCCACTTCTATGTCCCATAACTGCATTTCAGGGGTTTCCTCTGAAAGGAGAGGCGCCGGGTTCAAGACTGCTAGGAGGCTCATTGTGCAAGATGGGTGCAAAGCCTCTTTCGGCGCACCGAACCCCTTTGCAGAGAATCTCTGGGGGCCACACGCGAGTGTGTGTGGGAAATAGGAATGCAAACGTGGGTGGTGCCAGAGGCAAAGGAGACCTGCGCACGTTGACGGGAAGCTCTCAGGGACACCGATGAAGTCTTAGCAGATGCATTTTTCAGAAAAGGGAGAACAGCTCACAAAACCAGGAGACCAGTGAATGATGAGGAGAAAGGGGAAAGGGACGGGGCTTCGTGAAGGAGGCCTGGCCATCACAGCAGGCCGGACCTCCTAGGCAGCCCTCAGGCAGGGGGCACGTGGCACCCGGCGATGGAGACGCGAATTCAGACTGACTCAGACTCGTCTCCTTCTCCACCAACACGTCTTTCCTCCGACCCTCCAACTCTCATCCTTGGCTCCATTCCTGCTATGCAGCAAAAGCCGTTCGCCCGAGCAGGTGGGAGCTCCCGTCTCCAGTTCCACACTTACCGGGGAGTCCCGCCTACATCCCACATGCGGCTGCCTCCCCGTGCAGCCTGATCTCCTTAGCACATCCCCGGTAAGAGGCTGCTGTGTGGACTCCGTGGCTGCCATGTCTGGGGAGCCAAAATAACAGTGCGATGATTTCAGCAACTCCCCGTTTGCTGAGGAATGCTCTTGCTCTGGGGAGGGGTATTTGCAGAAGAGAAGAGGTGCAGCACCCCAAGCCCTGCCTCTTTACTTCCCCGCCGGGTTGCAAATTTGGAAAGGACACCAGATGCGGGGCAGACAGGGTGGAAGCATCGCAGTCAAGATCTGAAACTCTCCCCCCTCGCCCAATAAATGCCTGCCCCCACCCACCCAGTATCGGGAAGCGACATGAACAGAAACCATTTGCCGAGGACGGCAGGCAGCCAGGCCGAGGGATCAAGCAGCTCACGGAAAGCAGCAGGACTTTGTTACAGCGAGAGATGGCTGGCCTCCACCCAGACTGCCCCCGAAGCCAAGAGGATGGAAAGGAGACGGGGCCGCTCGTGCCAAATGCAGATTTTTCTCCCTGGGGACAATCACCCCAGTCTGTTTCGTGCTGTCGCGTGCTTTGTGGAGGAGGAAGCAGGTACGGGGGGAACCAGCAAAGAGAAAAACAGGGTGACTGCCCGAGATGGATGGATTCCCTAAGCACGCCTCAGCACAAAGCTCCTGTTTACTCCCTTCCAAGAAAAAAAGAGCCGAGGACAGATCCTTTTTCTTGCACTGGGTTTCGATAAGGAACAGCAGAGTGCCTGCCTTGTACCCCAAAAATCTCAGGTTCAATTTCTGGGCTCTCCACTGAAATGTTTCAGGAAGAGGGGATGGGAAAAGGTCTGGAGAGCTGGTGCCACCAGAGCAGACCGGAACTCTTCAACCCTTTTAGCCCGAGGGCCGAAATCTCCTGAAGAGAAACTCTCGGGGGCTGCGTCCAGGCGGTGGATGGGGCAAAAGGGCCAAAATGGCACCCTATTTTAGCTACTGACTAAGGCTCGCAAGAGACCTCTGAGTCTTCTGGTGGCAGGGAAGCAGGCAAAGGAGCAGGGCTGTGGGGAGTTCCAGAGATCCATATTGGGACCTTCGAGGGCTGCATCCATCCAGCCTGGCTCTGGGGTTCTGCACCCCAGTTGAAGGCCGTTACAGACAAGACAAGCTAATTTGAGGCTAGTCCTCCCAAAACGTTGTGCTGCATACCTCTGGTGGGGGCAGAAAATTAGACAGATGGATAGAACCCCAGTGCACCACTTAGAAAGATTTTTGGTGGGCTAGTTGGCAAGACCTTAGTCCACTGAAAGCCTAGGCTGACATTCCCAGGGTACGGATGACTCAAATGAAATGCGGCCCAACTGGTGAAACTTCCAGGGGCACAGCCTGCGGTAGATGGCATCAATCCTGTGGGGGCCAGAGGAATGGCGGGGCGGGGCAAGCGTTCCCATGGGGCACTAGCCATACCCAGGTGCGGAGTCAGATCTGAGTGATGGAGACCGACTTGGTGAGATTCTGGAGCAGGGTCTGCCACGAGGTCTTGGGATGCAAGAAGGGATTAGCTCAAGGGCAGACGCCTCGCCCTGCCAGGCAGATCCTGGGAATGGTGGACGCAGAGCCAGTGGGAGGGGATGAGGTGCCCCCAGGTGCAGACCAGCCCCCTCCCTCTAAGCTGAACCCCACGGCAAGGTGCCAGCAGAGGCGAGAGGCCCAATCAGGTGACTGGCCTGCAGAAAGGAGGCGGGCCAGCCTCAGGTGCCTTCATAAGGAGAGTTCTTGGAAGTAATCACTAGATTGGGTTCAAGAAACCACTCTGTGCATGCTCAGAGATCCAATGACAAGGAAAATGGAGTGTGGCTAGCGTTTGTTCAAAGGAGGAACCTCGGCTCACAACACCACCACCACCATCCTGCTGAAGGAGGAAAAAAGAAAAGACTGCGCATCAGCCCGAACCATTTTTGTAAGCATGGATGCCAAGGAAAAGTCACCGCAAGCGGGCATCCCTGGGGGAAAAAAAGAGGATTGACTAAGCTTTGCCCACCCAAACGCCCACTGCCTAATTACAGCTTGGCAAGTGCTGAAAAGGAGGTTGGTAACCCGCGTTGCTGCCAGGCTGGGAGGTGGACGGGAAGAGAAGAATTAAGTCTGTGCCAACCACTGGTGTGCAGGGGGAAGCCTGGAGAGCCGCCAGGGGGGTGTCGGGAGGAGCACTGGGTGGCCAAGACAGCTCCGCTCGGCACGCTCCTTCCCCGCCTCCTTCCACTCTGAGTAATTCCAGTGCTCACGGGGTTCCGGCGTGAAAGAGTCCTCTTCCCACTCTGCTCACCTCCTGCACGGCTCGTGCAGAACACGAGGGATCTGCGAAGGGGGCAGAGCCAACGTGACTTGATTGCGCAAGTGTGGTGCCGTGCTCGTTAGGGCCGCGACTGCGGTTTCAGGGAGGGGGGAGAGGAGGGGGAGTTATACCAGGGGGCAGCTGAGGGGCCAAGCCAACCCTCAGAGGTCCTCGCTCGGCCTTCTCGGGCTCCGTCCCTTGCTCCGAGCCACGTTCCCCCCGTCACGAGTCGCTTGGCACTTTCCTGGGCTTGGTGCGTTTTCCTCTCTTCCTAAACGCTTCTCCAAAGGATTAGTTACTCAGAAATGCTTTAAGCTAACGTGTGTGGGTGTTTTCGGCAGAAACGCGGCTGCTCCCTCACCTCTTGGCTCCTACTCTGCCTGTGCTGGGATCTGACACCTCCAAGATGGAAGTTGGGCTGGAAGAGAGTCTGTACCCCGGAGTTAAGTCCTCCCTCTGGTTCACCTCTCCATCCCCTACCTGGGACTAGAAGTAATAAGGTGTTTTTAAATGCCCTGCTTATGAATGCAAGCTGAGTTGTGTTACCCATTCTTTCCAGCTGGTCCTATGAAGACGTGTGAGAAAGATTTGGCATGAGGCAAAATCATTCTGCAGCTCTGAGCAATCAAATTTTACTTTTTTGTACCCTCCCCTAATCTGCAGCAAAAAGCCATTTCCCTTCCATTTCCACGCTCGGCCCTCACCTTGCCCTCTGGAGCGACAAAGAGCTGACTTTTTCCATCTCCTACAGGGCAACCTTTCAGGTACTTGAAGGCTGCCTCCATCTCGGTCCTGGTTCTCTTGAGCAGGGCCACAGGGGTCTTTCCCTGTTCCCGCCTTTTGAACTGGAGAAACTGGGAATCAAACCTGGGACTTGTGAGGCATCGCTCCAATGCAATATTTGGGAATGAACCAGAGAATTCAGCCTAAGGCAGATCATTGGTCCATCCGGGAGCCAATCCAGAGGGTTGCAAAAAGAGAGAATGAGGAACGGGAACACTCTGGGAGGCATTAAAATGATGCCAAGCTCAGGCCCACAGGATAGAAATCTACATGTGCTGATAGATATCTGCATATACAACATTTAGAAATAATTACTTGGATGTATTTAAATTTTAATGCCAGCTCATTAATTTCTCATGCAAATCATCTCAGATAAAATAAACATTTCAGTTCATTTGAAGCCTGACTGAAGTCATTTCGAAAGCAAGGGGAACACGGCGGCATTCCCCCTTGAAAGTGGTCCCTGCATGGCAATTAACCTGAGGCGGTGGGGGGGGGGGACCATCATGGCACCAATGCAAACAAGAGATCTGTAGAATAAATCCAGACTTAGCAATACTTCTTGAAGCACAGCCTTGCTGAGAAACGGCTTGTTTTCCCCTCTGCCCTCCCCATCGCTTCTTCTTCCCGTGTCGTGTCATTTTAGACTGCAAGCCTGATTTACTGATCGCATGTAATCTGCCCTGAGAGCCATTTTGGCGGAGGAGGAGGATCAAAATACTTTACCTAAATAAACATAAATAAAAATCCACTGCAGGATTGTTTAACCATCTCTGGTTTTTCAAGGTCTCAATCCAAGAGATGCTCTCCTAGTGAGAAGCCACTCTTTTAACTGGGAGATGCAGTTTCACACAAGCACAGTTGATGGCCAGAGTCCTGTACATTTTCTAGGAGTATGGAAGCAGAAAAGCAGAAAACGGAATGTGGCAATTTCGGTGCAGAATTCACTTTAAAGCAGAAAACATGTGCTAATGGCAGCAAAGGAAACATTGGCAAAAAACTGACAATCAGCTTAGGGTACCCATCAATCAGTGGGAAAAGAAGCTGTGGACTACGGCACTTATGACTAAAGTTAGTGACTGGGTAACATCGAATATCCTCAATACGAGATTAAACGTTAGATTATGAAGAACATACATGGCAAACCTGCTTAATAACTGTTTACAGACTGAATTCGAATCATTAGCCTGGTGGGAAATTTATTTTTAAAATAGTCAGTTTTAAAAGACACTCTAGCCCTCAGGAAGGTTGTTAATATCTGCTTGAAAGAATGTATAGGAAGGTGTGGGCAGAGCAGCAGGGTCCTCTCCCAGAATCCATGATGCAAATAAAACATGGCAGAATAAGTTCTCCAAGGCAAAAGGAGCTACTCTCTTTTAAAAATCTGCCCAAGTCTCGTCATCTGCAGGCTTCTGGTTGCTTAGCCCCGGCGCGCAGCCCCGCCAAGACCCCCCCCCCCCCCCCCCCCCCCCCCCCCCGCGCCCCCCCCCGCCAAGCCCCCCCCCCCGCCCACCCCATCCTCCCCGAGGCGCATCCGTGCGCAAGCTCACCTCTCACACACACGCACCGTCCAGGCGGCGATGATCCACAGCGAGATGCTGAACACCAGCAGCACCGTCCCGGGGCAGATGGTCATGAGCGTCTTCATGACGAAGCGCGTGTTGAAGTTGATCTTGTTGAGGGCGCCGATGCTGCGCGACGAGGCGTCCGTGAAGAGCTTGCTGTGCAACAGCATCACCCGGGCGATCAGGTAGAGGCGCAGGAACATGGGGATGGAGAGGATGATGTCCACGTCTGCCTCGGCCCGCGAAGGCGCGTACGAGAAGGCCAGCCGGGCGGTCCAAAAGAACTTGTACTCCCCGGGGATGGGGTGGATGGCACAAACCAGCATCTCCAAGCAGATGTAGAGGATGCGCTCGTAGGTCATGGCGATCCGCCAGTCATCGGCGCCGTTGTCAATCACGAAAAGCTGGGAGGATGCAGAAGGGGCCGGGGAGAAACACCCGACAGAGTTAGAGGGCTAGCCGTCCCTTCTAAACCACATTCACATTTCATTTGACACAGTAAAAGGTAAGTCAGTTTGTTTGTCTGAGGAAATGGCGACCGATGGTCTCTTGTTCAGGGGGCCAGCCGGCCATAACCTGTCCTGGGACACTCTCTATTCTATTCTATTCTATTCTATTCTATTCTATTCTATTCTATTCTATTCTCCAGCTGTTCATTTTCTCTCCCCCAGTGAAGGAGAAACAAATGTGGGGTCTAGAGGCCAAAATCAGCCCACCTGGGATCCCAGTTCAGGGTTTCCCCATATGGCCATGCCCCGTTCTCTGCCTCCACCCTCCTCCTGGCCAGCTGCACACAGCACGATGGTTTTCCAGCTTGTGTGCTGTTTTTTGCCCTGTGCTAAGGGACTGAAATGCACTTGCTTAGGCAGAGCTACCAGCAGTAAGAGCTTCAGATCAGAACTGGCTGGTATGCAGGGAGTTGGATGAAAAACGTTTTGCCACAGAACAGAGGTGGGAAAGGGAGGGAGGGTGTAGTAATCATGTGCCATCGAGGGGGACAACAGGGGGACAACAGGTCCCTGCCCCCAGGGGCTTACAATCTATGAGTTCGACACAGGAGGAAACAGAGGGGAAAGAAGGGAAGAGAGCTTGCAGGGAAAATACACAGTTTTTTTGGCAGCATGTGTATGGCTTATGAAAAGCAAGTTGTGGTCATATTGGCAGCTGGAAAGATGGTCTAACGTCCCGTCAGCAGGCCCCAGCTGGGATGCGGGTGCTCGGTGTGTACCCAACCATGCCGGCTTTGCATCTGGGGGAGCAGTGGGCTGGGAAGGAGTTAACAGAGCTGCTTTCATGTTTTTATGTGAATGCCTTCCTGGGATGGACACAAAAGCTGCCTATCAGAACCTGAGGCGAACCAGCATCCAAATGCACGGCCTGAGCCTGAGCCTAGCTAAGCGGATGACTTGTCCTCCAAGCATGTACAGAAGCCCTTTTCCTTCCAACCTGCCAGGACTGGATGCGAGGCATCCAAACGGCAGGGCATGGAAAATCCGTGGGAGGTCCAAGCCCACATAGCTCACAAAAGCACAACCAGGCCTGATCAGCGCGGCCGAAAGACCTTCTCACCTGCTGCCCACCAGGGCGGGCAGAGATGGCACTTACGCTTCAAAGCCAAGCCTGCCTCCTGTTGCCCCAGCAACCTGGCAGGTTTGCCCTGGGAGAGGAGGCAGGAAAAGACCTGAGGAAGTGGGGAAGGTGGAACACGGGAGGCCAACTGGCACTGAGAAAGCATCTCTCTTCCAAGGAGCTGGCATATTCCCCTCCCTGTTGCCACCAAGCAATGCCACGAGCTTTGCTCCAGGCAGAACCCAAGCCCGGGGGAATTTACACAAGGCCATCTGCTCAAATACAGAGGGGTCTCTGCCTGCAAGCTGCTTCCAGAATAAAAGAAAACACTGCATGGGGTGGGGAAAGAGAAACAACCGAGGAGGGTGGGGAGAAGTGACCGGAACTGGGCAGGAAGGAGAGAGTGTTAAAAAGCGGGCCACCTTCTAATCTGGACCATGATTTGGAAGGCTTCTGCCTGCCCCGCTACCCCAGGAATTCTGGGAAAAGGAAATGCTGGGGCTGCAGGCAGGATAGTGGAGGAGACGGCTGGAAACTGCTCTGCCCCACTGGGATTGACAGACCGAATGGGGCAAATGTGGAAGGAAAAGGAGATACAGATTTAATGAGTGCCTGCTTCAGCTCTCGGAGGTTTTCCTGAGCTGGGTTGGAAACACTTCCACACACCTAATTTCCGAGAAAAGATGCAAAGACAGTTGAAGGGGTATAATATAAGCATATTCATTAAAATTATGAGCATATATATTTTTCCACCCATTATCCACCCTTCTTTCCAAAGGTGTGGAAAGGACCATGCACAGTTCTTCCCCACTTTCCTCACAACAACCCTGCAAAGGAGGCCAGACCAGGAGGAACTGACAGGCTTCAAGTCACCTAGCCTAGCCTCACAGCTAGGTAAGGACTTGTACCAAAACCTCCTCAGTTCTAGCCCAATCCTCTAACCACTAGGCCATACAGCTTTCAATCAAACAGGTAAGAGCTTAAGTTTCCAGAAGGAACCGTGCTAGAATTCCTTGCGAGCGTCAATTAAAACACACCTCTTGCCTGATAAGCACTTCCGCTAGACTTGATCCCAAAAGCCTCTTCTCTGTCTTTCCTTTTTACAAAATCAATCACCAGAAATCCCACCAGCAAAAGGTCCTGAAGGGAAGTGAATCTGGGAACAGTACACCTTTGGTCCATCTGGTCTCTTCCTTTCCCCCCCTTTTAAACCAAGCATCTAAATCTCGCAACTGTTACGGAAAAGTCAGCAGTGAGGCCTTGGCCTGGAGAATAAGGGTTGGGGCAAGAGGGACAAAGGCCAGCCTATTTCAGGTCTGACAGCCAGTATGTGAAGTCTTCGGAGGGCCAAGTCAACATCTTAGGCTGGCAGAGAGAGGATGCTAAAACCGTACCATCGGCGGGCTGGGGAATGTGGAAGCGGCAAGGTCCCCTGAGGAGCCACCAGAGGGCTGCATCGGGCCCACGGGCCTCCAGTTCAACACCCTGGTTTTAGGGTTGGGAATACGCCGCAACACTGCACTGCAGATCCTACTTGCTTTTCCCTTCAGTGATGAAATCAGAGCCTCCAAAAGAAAAACAGGCTGAAAGCAGGGGTGGGCAATCTGCAGCCCTTGGACTCTTTCAATCCATTCAGACCTCTGGTGAGAACAGGCCCTGCGCTCCCGGGCAGGCAGCCCCAAGACCAGCCCAGTGTGGGAAAACAGGATGTCAAACTAGACAAAGCACTGGTTTGTTCCAAGTGGGCGGTTATGTTCCTCTGTCCCCTTTTGGGCTGTGGTTCAGGCCAGCCACGGTGCAATCAGCCACTGTGCACATGTATCTCTCTCTGTCTTTCTCTCTCGGACACACCAGCGCACATATCTCTCTCTCAGAGAGAGGCAGGTGGGACAGGAGGGCCATTTTCCTCTTCCCTCCTCTGCCCTTCTTCCTTGTGTGTCGTATTTTGGGATCATAAGCCCACAAGCAGGGCTTGTTGGGTTGATGGCATGTAAGCTGCTCTGCTACCCTGGGGCTGAGCAGTGGAATAAAAATACCTCGAATAAATGAATTTTTAGTAATAAATAAAAGCACAAACTAATAAAGATAGAAAAGAGCATTTTCTGTGGGGACTGTAGCACTTCCTTGCTGACTGAATATGCCTGACTGATTGCACCAGTGTGTATGGACTTCCAGTGATGCACCTGAGCATATGGATGGTCTCTCCACAGGTGGACAACCAGCACAAATTCACTACATTTTTGTTTGACTTTGCATCTGAAGTATGACATTAAAACACCAGTGAGGTCCCTGGAGAAATCTGTCCCCAGTGCCAGCCAAATGTGGCTATGACCACACAAAGGCCAGACCAAGCCGTACTTTTGGCTCCTGCTTGTAAACTTTTCCCGACTTGCCTAAACAAAGGACGCTGCGATCTATTTAAAGGGAGCCAAAAATCCAGGGCCAAGTGCCAGCCAGGCAGCTCAACCCTTCCTGCCCAGGGTGGGGGGTATTACGCATACACACAATCCAGCCAAAGGGGAAGTGGAAAGCACTTGATCCCTTGCATGCAGCCTCCCAAGCGACTCTGGGTCCATTCCTCTGTGTCAACCCACAGAGGGTTCTTCCCCTACCTACCCTGCGAACGTTGCCACGTTGCTACCGGAGTTCCGTGGCAACTGCATCCTTAGGTCCGGCGGTACCTAATTAGTCTTCCTGATGCTAACTTGGCAGAGAAAGGTGAAACGGGAAAAATAGCAGAGCGGAAGAGTTACGGCCAGTGGCCAAGGGCTGTTACCTAGGTAGCAAAGGCTCCAAGCCAAGGGCCGAATTGTACAAGAGGCCGCGGCTGGGCATGAAACAGCCCCAGTGGGAACCTGCTCCAGCATCTGAATTCACCCAGCCCAGAAACCCACCTGGGGGGTAGAAGCCTCCTGGCGCTCAGTGCGGGGCCGTGGTTAACAAGGCCAGGCTTGTTTATCTGCATTATGTATTTTCCAATTTATATGCCGCTCACTAGCCCAACGGGACTCTCTGGTCCCCCTTCAGCCATGAAGCTTGCTGGTGTCTCTGGCCAAGTTCTGAGGCTCAGCCTGACCTACCTCACAGGTTTGCTGTGAGGAAGGGTGTGGAAGAGGGCCATGGAGCGCCACTGTGGGCTCCCTGGAGAAGGGAGGGAGGGAGGGAGGGAGGTCTACGAACGCAGCACAGAGACGAATAAAACACTCACTCCCAGAGTCCCTCTTCCACAATCCTGACCTGAAGAGCCAGCCATGCTGAGAAGCATCTTTGCAGAGAGCATCAAGAGATGGCTTTGGCTCGACTTCCCCATCGGAAGCCCTTCCTTTTTTTGAGCCTTTTACCCCTCGTGGCATCAACAAGCCGACCACGCCTGGCTCGTGCCCGGGGCTTGACAGCCAGCTCCCCGATTGCGAGTGTCGAGATTTTATGATGCTCTTGCGGCTGCCGTGGGATTGCAATTTCATTTCCACAGAAACCCGTCTGGAATCGCCCAGAGTGAAGTGCTAATTAAACAGGAGTGGCTGAGAAGGAAAGCGAGGGAGGGAGGGAGGGGGCATGCCATACGAGGATTCCCTCTCCTCCCGTGGAGGCTTGTGGTGAGCAGGTGTGCATCTGTGGAACATGTCATGGAACAGCACAGGACGATGTGGCATGCGGACAGAGCACTGGCTCTGGGTGCAAGAGGCTCCAGGTTCAAATCCTGCCATCTCCAGATAGACAGGGAAGCCACCTTCCCACCCCGAAATCCTAGGAGAGCCAGTGCCGGTCATGGGAAGGCAACCAGCAAGGGGGCACGACAGCAACATCCTTCCCCTTACTCCTTCTCGCAGCAGCT